GTTAATTAATTTTGTTAATTAATTTTCATTATAGACAGCTTTATGCCTCATAAAGTATTTTTCTGAGATCTGTCTTATCAAGTAAATTACTGTACACAGTGTATTCATTAATTTTCATTTTCCTGTAGTAAAGGCTCTATGCCTTCATAAAGGATGTACTTTTCCTTTGTTTAAGGGTATTTGGGAAATTTATTCTCTGTTGTATTCTCAAGCAAACAATACATACAAGTAGAGTACAATATTTTCTGAGGAAACACGCATACTTATCCTGTTTTAACCCCATTCCCGATAACCCGGCATTTTCACAAACTCGGCCACCCTTCGGTCCACATTAGGCCGAGTTTTCGAGGCTCTACTGTATAAGAAATATATTTAGTAATTTTATGAAATTTTACATTACAAAGTTAAAAATTTTTGTGTATCTAATGTTATTTTATGTAATATTATATGCATTTCTTAGACAATATTTTTGATTTAATTATGTTTAAGTATTCTTATATAATTGTGTTAAAATTTTTATTACTACAGTTGTCCCTTGATAATCCGACAGGTATGGGACCAAAGGTGTGTCAGATTACCGAAAATAATTACATATTACGCATTGTTTTGCTAGCAGTAACTTACAATATTCTCTACTCCAACTGTTTGAACAGAACTGCTCACATAAAACACACGAAATGTGTGTCATCGAGTAAGAATTGGATGGGGAGATTCACATCGCAACATGCTTCTGTGCATGCAGACACGTAACGGGGACGGGTACCTTGACGGGAGGTGCGTCGGACTACTGAGCATGTCGGATTAAAAAATGTTGGACTATAGAGGGACAACTGTATTAGTTAATTTGTTTTTAATTTGGGTAAAATATGTTTTTTCTACATCACAAATAATAAACTATGCTTTTATTTTTATTTGAAATTACTTATGTTATGAGCTTGTATTTTATCATTGAATTTGTTCTTTTTACAATATCATGATTTTATATTTTATATTATTTAACATATTTATTATGTACTAAATGCAATACACACTCAACACGATACAATTAGCAACTCAGAGCCAATTGGCTAGCGTATGTCGGATGATCACTCCTCAATGTATTATTATCATCTTGCCCGACTAGGTGATAGCAGTATTCATAATGACCGGTCAATTTGATAAATTAATCTATATTTATCATACTATGCGCCCTTTTTGGTCATTATTATGCCCGATTAATCACTTTGTCCATAACATATACACTAGTATCCAAAATTTTAAAGTTATTTTGAAAAAGAAATTAAATACACCTAAACCTAAAATTAGTAAAATTTTGTATATGTAAACAATTAATCATTAATAATAATGTGTTTTTTAAATCTGTAACATAATAAATTTTAATGATCATAAATGCATGCATTGCTAAAGTACAAGTGATATGAAAAATATCTGATATATGAAAGTGAGATGACAGATATCTCTATATAATAAGGAACACAATCATTTCTCACAGTAAAGGATCATATTGATTAAAAGGTTTTTGATCAATTCTATAGGTAACAAGTTTTGTGAGCTAAGCTTTGTCTATAAGTACAGAACTTGACTTACAGAAAATTTCAAAAGAAAAATAAAAATGTAATAAGTACTTCTAGAGAATCTTAAAGTATGTTTTCAAGTGTGAAGATTCATTTGCTAATATATTGTTAAATACCTCAGTTTTGAGAAAACCATTGATTAAACTGATATCTGTGGATAAATATTATATATAAAAGACTATTATCTGTCCAGCTGGATTTGGATAAGCTTACTTTTTAATAACAAAATATTTATATTATTATTAAAAAGCTTTACTATGCATGTTTGACTTCAAAAATCTCTTGCTTCCTTTTTGATAATGCCTTAGCTATTATTCACTTCTTCAAACAAACACATCTTGTTTTATGTTTGACATTGCTTTTGGAAAGCTCTAATTGAAAATTTAAAAAGAAAGCACTGTATATAAAATTTGACTTGCTTATTCACATTTGTTACTTTAAGCATGAAATGCTCATAAATTTTTTGTATTTTGGTGTTATGGTTTTTGAGGGATTAATGTATCAAGTGACTGTATCTTTTGTCAAGTGTTTATAATTAAATGATTTTATTTCAAGTGTGTCTTAATATGATTTTATTGTGACTCTGGAAATGCAACAGAAAACACATAATAGCAAACATGAAATAAAGATACAGAATCCTAGATTTTAAATTATTGAAATCTATTTTTGCCTGAACTGAACTCCTAGAGATGCAAATATTTTGCATCTCTGGGAGTTCAGTTCAGGCAAAAATAAAATTTAAGATTTAAGGTAATGAAGTTAGGCTTATCAAAGACAACTTCAATTGAATCAACTGTAAAAATTTTGTTATTTATTACCTTACTTATACAATAGACAACAACCACAAAATCTTCATACTTTAGTAAATGCAATAAGTATTGCAATGAAAGTTTTCTGCTTGAAATTTGCAAGAAAGTTTGCTGCTTGTAATCAGTAGATTGTGGGCTTGTATAAATCATGATAAAGAATATTTTGAAAATTTTAAAATACAGTAGAACTTCATTTTTCCAAACTCTGATTAACAAACTTTCCACATTGTCTGATGTCTATAACTGAATGTAAACTATTCTTCTTATACTGTAATTCATAAAAGAAAATTTAAAATGGTAATATATTACAAAATAATTTGTTTCTGTTATATTTTATTATTTAACTTCAATATAAGACAAACCATTTATATTAAAATGTATTTACTAAGGTATAAAAAGAGAGTTAGAAGTGATATACCATATAAATCTTTTATATTCATCATTTTAATCTAAAATAGTGGCCATCTGTGTTTTCAGTTATCCGAGGTAGCATCACTCCACATTACCTCACACTATATAATTGACCCTTCTTATTTTTTCCTGTTTTTGTTCAGTATTTATCAATAAATGCTATTATAAAATATTGCATTACTTTTGTTATACACTGCACATTCTATATTTATTTAATTTTTATTATATAATTATTATTGCTGTTAGTGTATATTACGGCAATGACAATAAAATTCAGTAGTAATAAATTGTTTTTCTTTTCTAATTCAGATTCAAACTTTAGATATTCTTTTGGATTAGCTTCTGAGAATAAGATTCTTACACTCAAAATAAGTAGATTCTGCTTATTGTAATCATGGATATTATCATTTGATTATTGTTATCAAATCATGTCTCAGAACATAAAACAAATTATAAAAACTTTTCTTACTGGAATTTATATTTGTTATTATTGTTATCTTTAGATGAATAGGCCTTTTACACTCTTTTTTGTGCTATCAGTCTCAACATTGGCTAATGACATGCAATTATTATCAGTTATTGTTATTTTTAAGCAGTACTTTAAACATTAAATGTTAATTGTTTTAATCATTATTTTTTTGCAATACAACTGATTAAATTACTAGCATCAGACTGGCTGTTGTTAAAGTTAGTAGCAGACAAATGTTGGATCAATAATATATATAAATTAATTAATAATTCTTTAAATTGTACATTTTTTAATAATTTTAATATATCCTTTTAATGTTCATCAATGAAGACAGAACTTTTGCTAATTGTAGTGTTATTTACTTATTCTTCTTAATATTAGCTGAGTCTCAAAGTGATTACAATAAGTGAAGTTAACTGTATTAAGGTATACTTATTGTTTTAGTTTGATATTTGCAATAAAGCAGTTTGATTCTTAGTTTTCCCAGAAATTTAGAATTTTATCCTTCTCTAAATATAAAATTTAAATATTCTGTATTCAGAAAATAATTAGTTTTAGTTACTTTTCTATTTTTAAATGAATAGTGTATTAAATCTACAGTAAACCATTCAATTCAGTATTGAATGCAGTTTAATCTATCTGAAAAATTGTATTTAGATTTATATTTGAATATGTATTATTCTATAATATTATTTTTTAAATAAAAACTTTACTTTTTATTTTAATTACAGTGATGTTGGAAATGTCATTCAAAATATGTATGGATCTGAAAACCTTCCACCGGTAATTTTAATTGGACACAGGTAATTATTTGCTTCAAATTCAATTAAAATAGAAAACATTTTACCTCTTTATATTAATTAAGCTTTAAGCTTAATTAATATTATATAGAAAGAAAGAGGTAGCATGTTTGCTATTTTAATTAAATTTGAAGCAAATGATACACACAAACATTTATTAAATATGTTATGTTTTATCATAAAAATTTTTTATAAATTGTCTAATTAAATACTTTGTATGCTGAACAGTGACCTGCTTATCTCAAAATTATTATAACAATATTAGCAAATTTTTATCTTAAAATATACAAATTATCTATAAAATTTTGATGCCTTTAACATTAAGATTCTATATTATAGGATTGTGGGACCATTCAAGTGCTATGTGAGCAGTTTATGGTGCAAGATTTATTTGTATCTAACAATTGCGATGATGGAGGGTGGGAGGATGAGTCTTTGTTGATGTAAGATTACATCAACAAAGATTTATCCTCCCTTCCACCATCATTTTTATTATTATCCTAAATCATCACAAATTTATCTGAAAATAATTCCTGTATATTTGAGAATGGTTTTAACTACTGGCTTGATAACATAATTATAGGGAGAGGTCCCTTGATTTCTGATCATCGGTTGATGATGGGGAAATCAAAAAACACAAATCTTTGCTGTTGTAATACTTGAATGGCCCTTATTATCTGAGTGAGATATTATAAATGGTATATCACCATGAAATTCATGGTTATATTTAAATAGAAAATTTTTAATGTGTGTTTAATTTAATATAACTTATTAAATTAAACACACATTAAAAATTAAATTAAACACAGTAATTTATTGAATTTAAACAAGTAAAACACCAAAGCCGCTTTTGGGACAAGACTATGTCTCGGAGACTCAGGACTCAACTGTGCACTGTTTTCTAAGGAAAAAAGAAAAATGAGCACTCTCCAATGAAGAAAAGTTGACACCAGTACTCGAGGTACTGGGGTAGATTACAGTGGAATTCATAGCCGCTGTGGTTATAATGGGTTGCATTGCTTGGACCTGTTCTTGTCTATGGTAAGCGGGATCACTTTGATGCTCACGGTGGATCTTGTTCTCATTCTCCAATCTTCTTTGGTATCGCTGGTTTTGAACACAATCATTCAAACTTCTCTGGCCTTGGCCGTGATCACGAGGCATTTTCGGTATCCAATGTTGAACTTTCTTTTCATTACGTGTCATCCCGGATTGAATTTTTGTCAATGCCTAACGAAAATTTCCCAGTTTTGAAAGAAATAATTGCGGCTATTGTTTCATACAAAATTATTTTATTTTGCACAAACAAAATAAATATATTAATAAATGTAAAAGCAAAAAAATTATATTTCAGAAGTTAGTTTTAATATTAAAAAATTATAACAACTAGCGCCATCTTGTTTCAAAAACATTCTGATGCTGAAATGAGATATCTCGGGTCATCCAGTCAAGGTCAGCATGTCGTGACCAGAGATATGTTGGGAATAACACAGGACAGGTAAATGGGTTTATTCAAAGATTTGTTTGTCAAAATTTGATTTCACAACATTCGCATTTCCAACTTGCCAACAAGCAATGCATGTGCAAATCTTGCACTAGTGCCTGTTTGTAGAAAGAGTGTTGCCATTTTGTATTTTATTTTGACTTGGTTCTCAGTCCCCTGAGTACCTACAAGTCAGATTTTTTTTTTTTTTGTTTTTTGTATGTGCATGATTTGGGCACCTAATACTCTGTGCCAAATTGCAACTCCTGACATGTTGACAGCACCACAATTTTATAAACAAGACATAATCTTGTCAATAAAATTAAATAACTTAATGTCTTTAAATTTTACACATATATATAAAACATTATTTCATTAAATTATATTTTAATTTTTTATAATTATTTGTAAAATGTATTGGAAAAATAATTTATTTTACTTTTAAATTATCATACTGATCATTTGTTTTCTATGAGAGGTATTAATGCAGTTTACTTTTCAAAACACTATATCTTTAAATGATATTCATGTTAGGATTACAAATGCAATTAATTCTATGAACTAAAACAAAAAATTGGGAATTTGTTTAAAATTATAGTAAAGTTTTTAATTCTATAATAATAATAATAATAACAAACATTTTATTAAATTTTGATAATTTTATGATTTTATGCATATAAAAATTAGAATAAAATACCTTTTCAATACATTTTCACATTGTTTAATCTTTGTGTAAAATCTTAGTTATTATAATTCTAATGTGCACAAGAACTTCATAACACACTATGTAATTATGCAATTAAACTTACAAAATTTAATGCACTTTGTTGTTGAAAGATCTAATAAATATGTAGATTCAATCTTTATCAAATGTTTTTTTGATTTATTTTACTCTCTTTTATTTGATTAATATGAGAAAAAAAGGTTATATAACATATTGTTTCATTAAAGAATTATCACACATTATTAATATTTTGTGACAAATTAAAATATAATTTAACTAAATAATTATATATATATATTTAGTTATCCTCTATATACCAAAGTTTTGGCTCTGTTTGTTACTGTTATTACATGGGAATACCATGAACTACTCAAGAAAGATTCCCACGATGCAATGCAGTGAGAGTTGACTGCTTGTTGTCGTACCACTCACTACAGAACAAAGTGTGTTTTGTGAATTTCGAGAGTTGTTGCAGGCAAGTTTTCAAACATTTTAACCTACTAGTACACATGTGACTTGAACATTGATATTAAGCATAATGTACACTAAAAGAATTGTAGTTTGTTATACTGTAGTCGTTTTTTAGCTGATAATGTTTTGTCCATCAGTTTAAAGGTTCATTTTCCAAGATGGTGTGTCGGGTATTATGGAATATAGGATAAATGGATAAACTGAAAGAAAAGGACAAAAAGAAAGAACCAGAAGCTTCAAAACAACAAAAGAAACTGAACATACAAAGACCATTTGTTAAGAAATTAAACTGACCTTCTAGACCTAAACCTACTAGAGATGACTCCAGTGTTTGCAGTGATGAATTGTTTCATTCTGAAGTATCATCTGTAATGGACTGTGTGCCATCAACTAAAGAACCAGAAAATGAAGATGCTGAATGTATCTTCTGTAAAGGAAAATTCTCCAAAGATGATCGAGGGAAAATTTGGATTCAATGCTTCAGCTGTTTTCTGTGGGCTCACCTTGATTGTACTGGAGCAGAGAAAGAAAATTATATCTGTGACTTTTGTAAATAGACTCGAATTAGGAATGACATGCACATAATCTTAAAAATATGGTTTTTATAGTTAAGAATAACTATGTCTTATGAAGTCTAATTAGTTTTTCAATGGTTTAAACCACCTGATCCATATTACCCGACTATTCCATATTACCCTCCATTTGTGAGTTTTTTTAAATATATTTTGTTTCATAACAACAAAATAAATAGTATTTTTTTTACAAGTGACAATTTATTACAATTAGTTATAGTATGTACTCATGATGATTTTGGGATTTTTATTCAAAAACCAGTAAAGTTATTTTTAGAAATGTAAATGGTATTCTATAATACTCTCCTCTCCTCTATATAAAAACAAATTCTCTACTTAAATGTAACCATGAATTTTATTATATATTGTTTGTTAAATCTCCTAAATAATGGTGATAATTTATAGTTTTTTTAAGTAATCTTCATATTTCTCACCAGATCACAAATACAGTCGCCCCCCCTATAACACTGTTGATTATTCCGTTTTATATGAATTCCATGTTGTACGATTCACTTAGATTTTACAAATACATGAGCCGTTCACAGCCCGGCACATGTATATCATCTGATTATAAAATCTGGATTATTGTATGTAAATACCAGATATTTGACAGAAGTATTAAGTTAAAGTAATAAGCTATCATTGTCATGCATGTGTTAATTAAAGGTACTTATTAATTATTAAAATGTTTTTAATTTTTGAATTAGCCTCCCCATGGGTACTTCTGGATCTACTGTTGGTTGTCATCTTGTTTAATTTTAAAAATGCAATGGCTGTATGACCAGGTGGTTAAGGTTTCAGCCTACAGCTCTGAGACCAAGAATGAATCCAGGTGGATTGAAAAATCTCCTGGGAATTTTTCAGATATTTACAATTATAGTGGTCTGGCCCCATTCTTCAACACTCCATTGTGGACCTAATCAAAATCTACAATGCACTTGCAGGTGTCACCCTCGCTGTTTTATAGCATTTGCCAGGTCACTTTTTTGTTTACTGTAACTTTTTGTATCAACCTGAAATGAAAGGACTGACAATATAGAAAAATGCAGTTTTTATGAGCGAGTTTCTTAAACAACTCTGTTTATTAACAGTAAAATTGTATCAGACCAAGATGGATTCATTTTCTGTGATACTCTTTACTGAGTGACTTTTTTTTCTTCTGGATGCTATGGCTATTCACCACTCCAATTGCCAGATGAATATAATTTTCATAAATTGCAAATTTTGTGACAGGCAGTCCTGACTTGATTAAAAGAGCCTCTTAATGCCCATAGGGCGGGCAGAATTAGTAAAAAAATAATATAAACAAAAAAATTAATCAAAATTCTATAATTGTTCATTAAATATTTGACTTTGAATGTTTCTGAATAAAAGTTTTATGAACAATTATATTTATAAATGGCCATTTCAAATTCTATCAAGCATCTGATTTATTATTTTTACTTATAAAAGAATTCATTATTTGTTTGATGATTTAAAACAATTATTTGCAAATTTCATAAATATAAAAAAATTGTGTTTTATTTGTATGATTTAACATATATTTGAATAAACTCATACTTGACAATGATTAGAACTTAAATGTATAAAAATATTTTGTCTTTGGTACTATATGGCTTCATCAGTTAAACAACAAAAAAAAGAATGTGATATACAAATTAAAATTAGAATGGTTTTGAAAGAAACTGGTTTTAAACTTTACATCTTAAAATGAAAATAAAAACAATCCAACAAAATTAGCATGGAGTTATAGACAGGATGTTAATATATTCCCAAGGATCTTGAGATTTCAGTTTTTGTGATTATTGTAAACTTGATGTAAATAAAAACTCTAAAGTCATATTAATTTCATTTCTTTATCAAACGTTTGAAGTTTATTGGCTATCAATCATACCAAATTTATCTGATTATTCATTTCAATATTGGCCTTATATTAACAATGCTATCATGTTTCACATCTGTACAGCTTATCTATTATCATTCTGAGGATATTTTGAATGTAAAATTTAGCTTTTTTTTATACTTATAAATTCTGGATATTCAAATACTCCTGCTATAAAAAAAGAGTGTCTTATATCCTTGGTCAAAACTTCTGNATAAAAAATTAATTCTACTGAAAAGTATCAAAATTAATGTTATTTAAATTTTTACAATGTGTGTATGTGTAATAATTCAGATTGTTTAAAATTTTAATGTATGCATTGTTGTATGCTACTATTTTCGTAATGAATGTTATAAACTTATGAATTTTATAACGTATTTTTTTGATTTTCTTCGATATGTCCTTTATTTTCCCCCAAAAAATATGGTCACTGTAATTATAATAGAGAAAATGCGATTATTGTATTAATCTTTAAAATATTGGCATTAAATCTGTCGTATAAAATCATGACGACTCCTGTAAATCGAGCTATCCGATAAGAATAAAATACAATACCAATATAGCCCTATCGTTGAAAAAATTCGCTTATTTTTGCTCACCTCGAGTTTTGCTTAGTAGAAATGGCTAAAAACTGTGCAAAATACGTATGGAAATATGGTACTACAGCACCACCTGTATTGGATGACCACCAGTCTAAAAGACCACTTTTTGAAGGAACTGTGGGTGGTTGCCATAGACAGGTTTTACTGTATTTAGAATTATGTTCTATATTAGAATGTTAATAAATATATTTAAAACTTTTAAACGCGTGTGTGTAATTATGATGAACATTTTTTTCTACTGTATTTGTTTTTAGTATGGGAGGTGCAGTTGCTGTTCATGTTGTTCACCAAGACTTAATACCTACTTGCATTGGTTTAGTTGTGATTGATGTTGTAGAAGGTTAGTTTTACATTCTATATTTATGAAAATATTTACAATATAACTTTATTGTATTATATATGGAAATAAATATAATAGCATGATAAATAATATTTTATATTTCTAATAAAAATACACTTTCAATATGTTATATTTCTAATAGAAACATAACATATTGAAAGTGTGTATTTTTAATATCAAGTTATAAAGCATTGAGTAATTTAATACTGAATATAAGATATGAAACATTAAAATCTCATGGTGTCGCATTTAATAAAAGTGAGAATGATTGTTATTTTATTTAAAAATGTACACTTTACTTAAAAGTCATTATAAATTATCAATAAAATTATTCCATAATTTAATGAATCTATTAGCTAAATAATTTATCAGATTTTGACAAGTATGTTAATTTTGTTTGGAAATAAAAATTTTAAGAATATTATATGTAGTGTAATCTTTTATATATAAACTAGCAGTTAAACCCAGCATAGCCTGGGCAAAAAAATAAGAACAAACATTAAGATTATTAGTTTATTTCATAGTACTAACCCTTCTATTGTATTATATTGTAGTATTTGATTTATATAATTACAAACATTATTTTACATAAAGGTTTATCACACCAAGTGAACAATTTAACACATTTTAAAATTTCTTTAAATTGTGTACAGTAGAGGAATAAAGAATTTCTAATTTAAAATCTGTTAGATTTGTCATTTGGTGTGATAAACCCTTACATAAAATAACCTTAGTAGTTATATAATTCAAATACTATAATATAAATAAATGGCTTGCTGTATGGTATATTACAAATGTAAATCCGTCTGTGTAATCAAAAAAAAAAAAAAAAACACACTTTGGTAGACGTAACTCACAGCAATTTCTGGTTAGCAAATTATTTTTTATTTTCCATTGAACTATAAATATATTTCGGGTTGGTATAATGTACTCCAACCCTTCCTCAGTGCTAGTTCAAATAAACAAGAAATATTAAAACATGACTGTTATACCATAGAAATAAACTAAATCATAAAAAACACTTACATTTCCACATTATGTAAATTACAAAAAATTCTTTTTTGTTTTCAAAATAGGGATTGGGAGGGCAAACCTTCCTCATCCAATAACCTGTATTTAAACATAAAATTGTGCATTCCGTATTAATATACATCTAAAATTAAACAACCATAACTTTCAACGAACAAACTTCCATATTACTCACAATCATTTAAATTTTTTTACACATGAGTATATAACAGACATAGTAAAAAATTGTTAACGTAGTAAAAATTGACATAAATAGGTAAAAATTTATTTGATACACAGACAATATTATTAAAAATATAACAGTATCAGAATTACTATGGAAGATTTTTTACGTAATTATACCATGTTTTAACTTGTTTTAGTGCCATCTATTAATTCGTACCAGCAGTAATCAATTTGCATACCATCTGAGTTATTTATTAAATTATTTTTTTGTTTCCTTCTTTCTAAATGCTCTTTAAATTTTCTTTTATAAAAGTCTTTTTCAAAATGCAAAATTTCTATATTATTACGGTTAATTTTACAATTATTGTTATTTGTATGATCATACCACGGAGAATTCTTGTACTTCAATCTGATGGCCGTTTCATGTTCTTTTATTCTAACCTCTGACATGTGCCCTTTTTCACCTATGTACAGTACATATATGGATTTTGACAATCACATTCCAACCTGTATATAACACCAGCTTTTTCTAGGCAATCCATATTATTATCCATATGAAAGTATAAAAAAACAATTAGCCAAATTAATTAAAAAAAGTTATATAAATAATAATATAAGCAATATAGAAAAAAATCATATTCTTGACTTCAAAAATAATAGAATTCCTACTCTTAATATTAGATTAAAAACTCATAAAGAAGAAGAAAAATTTAGACCCATAGTAGAATTCAAATTCTCCATTCTTTATAATTTAGAACATTACATAAAACAACAATTAAAATGTTTAGAAAATTCTGTCTATAGTATTAAAAATGCTGATACTGTTATTAATAGAATACAAAAATTGTAAAAAGATAATTCTGATAAATTAATGAGTTTAGATATAAAAAATATGTATCCCAGCATAAATTGGAAATTAATAGAAAAATGTTTAAGTGATCTTAATGTACATAATAATTTGATAAACTTAATACAATTTGCATATAATAATAATTATTTTGAGGTTAACGAAGTGTTTTATAGACAGATAGATGGTATTAGCATGGGGTCAAAGAT